CTGGTAGAGGACCCGAGCTCAGAGGATGAAAGAGACCACCCGCGGAGGGTGAGAAGGGAATTTTTTTTTTTCTACAACTCTGATTTTGGACACAATTCATCAGAACTTACAATATATATTAACCTTTATAGTCTACAAAAATGTTTCTTGTTATTTAGTTTTGAGATGCTAAGCTATTAACGGATGTATTAATAAAAGTGAATGTTTTAATCTTTGTCCAATTCCACCCTATATGTGTTTACACACAATAATGACAGCCTAATTTAGCTCAATAAGACTCAAGCTACCACTTGATTTTAGCTCATTCAGTCAAGTGCTTGTGTAGAACCTCATTTCAATGTTACAAATTAATTCCGCAGTTCCTTAAAAGGTTTTAAAAAGTCTTAAATTCACATATCTAAAATTAAGACCTTAAAAAGTCTTAAATTCACATATCTAAAATTAAGACCTTAAAAAGTCCTAAATTTGATTTAAAAATGTGCAAGTCTATCTTAAATTTGTTCCTCAAAGGTCTTAAATTTTGTCGGGCAGAAGCAATTAAAATTTTCTGTCTCCCCCCGCAGAAAAAAACAAACAAAATATACTTGTGTTGTGATGGATTAACTGACGCTGGTTTCAACCAATAAAAATCCAGATTCACAGTTTTAGCCAATCAGAGCAGAGCAGGGCGGGTCCTTAAGTCGGAATCAAAACCGCAGGTGAAGTAGTCAGAGTTGCTCTGACTTTTTTCCTTTTTTCAACCCGCTACCAGAAAAAAAGTCTTAAATTAGAGTTGTTAAAACCTGCAGATACCCTGTAATTCCTGTAACTTAGCTTGAAAATTAGGATAAACTTTCTTATGTTTGATTTTTGCAAACAGGTTCCTTCAAGTTGCTTATTTTCATTCATTCATTTCCCGTTAACATATTAAATCATTATATTATCATTTGTTTATCATAAAACACATCGTGAAGCATGTTTAATTCAAACTAAAGATGCTCCTCAGCTGGCTGCACATCATCAGAAAACCCATAAACTCACTCCGCAGAACCCTTTTCTCTCCAAAACCAGCAGCAGCAGAATCCACAGGTTCCCACGTTCGAGTCCATGCTTCACACAAGGAGGAAAAAAAAGTAACAAAACAATTAAAAAACTATCTATCATCCAGCTAATAAAAAACAGCTTTAACTGACATAATGTATGGTCTGGATGACAGGCCCAGTCCCAGCGTGTCACTCGGCCGAGCCAAGACTCGGCTGTGATAAATGGAGGCCGGAGCTCGGTGTGGAGGTCCGTCTCAGCCGTGGAGATCAACACTTCCAGCTGAGAGCTCCCAGGACACGTCCGTCTGCAGGCAGCGCTGATGGCTGCGGGCCCTCCAGGTGCCCGGGCTGCGTGTCACCTGAAGTTTCAGGGAGGAACACGCTCAGCCGTCCTCTGAGTGGTATCCACACACACTTTCCCACTGCATGCACAAGGTGGTGCATATATACAAAACAAACATTATAGAATAATTAATAATGTTACAAAAAGAAACATCACCAGAATAAACAGATGGAATTTCTCGAATTAAAATGACTCCTAATTCATTTTAACGTCCAAGATGTTTTCTT